ACCGAAGCGAAGATGGCCTATGTGAGCAGGGGTGATGCTCAATCCATCTCAGACGCGCAGAGCTACCCGTGGGTGCATTTTATCGCGTTACCCTGCGCCCCTGTTTAGATTAGCTGTCGTATCTCCGAAACCATCTGAGATGGCATCATTTTCTACTCAAAGTCGACTTCGATTGTCCTCGAAAACTTGGGTCAGAAGTGCAACTTATCCCCGGATATTTTGAGGTGAAAGCAACCCTCGCTGCTTATGGTACTTGCGACTAGGACAGCACAACACTTCTGTCCACCAATGCGCATAACACCATGCTCAACTTCATGGAACTTAGACTTGATGTAAACCAGGTCTTTTCCAAATATGTAAGCTTAATAATAGTCCCAGGAGAGGCAACCCTGCTGAAATACGCAGATGACATTGTCCTTGGTGTCAATTAATTAAGGACTGTCTTTTCAATCAGAATGCAAGGTAATCTTAGCGAACTTACCTTTTGGTTAAAGGCCCGCGAGCTGCCGCCCAACGTATCGAAATGTAACGTTGTCATTTTTTCACTGCACAGATGTAATGGACATCAATAGCTTCTCGAACAATGTCCGGAACCCAGCATCGATGGCGAGAGGTTGCACACTTCGGCTAAGTATTTGGGTGTTATGCTAAGCTGGTCACACTATATAAAACAAACGTTCACATAACCTGTCAGATTCCCCGGTCCTTCATGAGTTGATACTTCTCTTTATCACTGCTTGTGTTCGTCCACACTGGAAGTACTGATGACCAGCAATTTTACCTGGCAAGGTGTTTGGATTAACCTTCAGATCGTTAAACACTTGTCGCGACGTAGTGGTGTATCAAACCTGATGTTCGTTGAAATACTTGTATCCACTCATAGTGCTTTTTGCAAGTGACTAACATCAAGCGTAATTGCGACACAAGTCACCCCTCCATTGTGTATTGTGTTTTAGTCTCATCAACTAAACAGAAGCACAAATCCATATAGGCCCCACACGAGAGTACCGTTCATCAAGTATACCCTAGCAAGGGCGACTTTTCTAGACCAACCCAAAGTTGTCCAAGAATTAACAACCGGGTTTATGAAATGATGGTATTAATGGTTCTCAATTATTGATCTACATTCTTTTTTGACTTGTCTTGTGTATGACATTCGGATCCTGAAACCTCTGGCAGCAGATGACTACTCCATTCTTATTGCCAACATGGAGCTGCCGCTACAGCAATCCCGCGCACTTCAGCCAGACTACACTTACTGGAAGACGCATCGCGACGGCCTGACTCGAGCCGCGAGTCAAGTGCATTGGTCTCTGCCGCAATCTGCTTCTGCTGAAGCTTGCTGCTTAGTTGTACTAACTGAATAGACTAATTACGCAACCAGCTTTTTTCCCTCAGGTGTCGGAAAGTCGGAGCGGTCAAGCCACATTGGTTCGACAATGATTACGACAAGGAGTTCCGATGGCGGCGTAGGCTTTGGGAAGATTTTCCCATTTCTGGCTCGATGAACGATTACGAGATGTTAAAAACAGCGAAATTTCTGCAAGCAGTTGAAAACGAGGAAACGTAAGCATTTTGAAAAGTGACTCGCCACCGCAGCAAAGACCGCTCTGAAGAAAATCTTTGTTCACGGGAGCAGCGCCTGAAACCGGCAGGTAACCTACAGTGATAGAGGACGCGGAGGTACAGCTCCTAACCGTCAGCAGTGAGCATGCGTTAGCCTTGGTGGCACACTTTGCTTCTGTGATTGCAAAGGACCAGGTGTCTGTACTGAGTTCGGCGCACACCACTCCTACCGAACTCGGCAGCTTGGATTTTGGTGTGGAAGAGGTGCGCCAACCACTCGCGCAGCTTGACGGCAGTAAGCATGCTGGGCTTGACGGGCTCCACCCCCTGATTCTCAAGACCGTCATCTCGCCTGCCGTAACCGACTTGTTCAATAGGTCGTTATCCAAAGTTTTATTGCAGATTGGAAATGCTCGGTGGTAAGGCCGATTCCGAAATACAAAGTAGACAACTGCAGGCCAGTCTCTTTGACACCCATTTTGGCCAAGTTTGCCTAGACTATGGTGAGGAAGAGTTCCCTGCAGCTGTTCAGGTCAGCAGAACTGCTGACGCCCGACATCACAGCTCTATGCTAGACCCTTAATGCATTAGCAACCTGCACGAGACGAGGCATGAATGGTTGCAATCAGGGAACCAGGGGGTCTGTCGACGTGTTCAACATCGATTTCAGCAAACGACTCGGTAAGGTGAACCATGAGACCATCCTCTTTAAACTGAGAGTGGGTGGTGTTGGCGGCCCAGTTCAATGGTAGATCCGCAAGTTTCTCATTAGACAAAAGTAGAGGCTACGAGTCGATAGTCATCTGACCGACTGGTATCCTTCGACCAGTAGCGTACCCCAAGACATGGTGCTGTGGCTTAAATTGTTCCTGATTTATGTCAACGATATACCCCAGTCTCTTCAGTCGCCGTACGCCTTGTTTGCAGGTGACCTGAAGATGTGGTGAGTGATTGGCATCACTGACAACTGCGGCTTACTTTAGCGAGATCTCGATCTCCTTTTCATGTGGTTTGCAGAAGTCCACATCCTGATCAACCCATCGAAGTCAGTATTCAGGAACCTTAGGAAGGGTGATGATATCTTATCTACATTCTTGACGGCCAACTGCTAGACCCCACATATTCCGTGAAGGATCTAGGCGTACTGTCACCTTGCGACTTGAAATCCGTTGAAAACACAAACAGACTACGCCAAACAGGACTGTGTATGCTCTGGACGCTCAAATGTAGCTCCTGCGTCTGGCCTGAAGGGATAGGCACTCGCCTACGCGTACGGTTCGTACGGTTCGCCACCTTATTACCCGACCACTCGATGAATGACAGAAAATTGAACTGGTCCAACACGTCGCTATCATGCTGATCCTTAGTTTGACGTGCTTACCATATGAGGACGGGTGCGAGAGGCTGAGACTGTACTCCCTGGTCCATCGTCGGTTGCGATTCGACTTTGTCATGACCTACGACAGTCTGCATATAGCTGCCTTCCCCATGCTGAGGTCACTGTTCCACTTGCGATTACTTTGTGGTACACGCGAACACCAGTACAAGCTTTTGTTTCATATCTGAAGCGAATTCCCCATCTCCTTTACTTTAAACGGGCAGTGGTCAATGTTTGGAACAGCTTGCCGGAACATATCGTGGAAGCTCACTCTATGTAACGGTGCAAACGATTGTTGGATGTGTATTTCTCAAACCTTAGATTCCTAGAATTATTACCCACTGCTATCTCACAGTTCGAGTCCCATTTTGCGCTGTTACACGCGTTTTACCATATCACACGAACACACGAAACACAATCAGAGTATTGACAAGTCATGCATACTGAGTTACTTTACTTTTTTCATCGTATTTCGATACAGTTGTATAGATTAATATTTCCACTTGATCCCACAATAGAGTATTCAAGTGGAATGTCGAAAATGCAGTTTCACAAGGATCATTTGTGGAGTCACACTTGTTTCTCGTGTTCATTGGTGAGCTTACGCGTCTGATTACCTCGGATTTCTTACTCCTCACCTGATATGATGTGGCAGGCGATCGCTGATCATGGAGATCACGGTGCACTTCAACAAGTCCTAGACATGGCGTAGGATTGATGATTCCACAACCTACTCCAATCTGCTACACATTTCATCAGTCAAACATTACAGACAAGCTTGGAGGCGACGTCCTACAAGCGGTTACCCAGGAGGGCGATTTTAGGGAAATAATTCAGGCTCATCTTCGCTATTCAGAACAATCTGAGAAACGGTCAATAACTTGGAATCAACACGCTGGTATCTCACGGAATGCATCCGGACAGTTTGATCCATTTGGCTGTTAGCAGTTATTTAAGACAAATGTGCTGCCCTTTGTGGAACATTCTATCTAGACTTGGCAGCCCTGACACCAGCAACATCTCGCTGCGCTCGAGATGCAACAGCGAAGAGTCACTAAGCACGTCAAAGGATTATTTCATCTTCCATGTCATTTTAGGCTGATGACCCTGAGGTTGTACAGCGGTCAGTATCGGTTCCTACGTGGAGACCTAATAATGACCTATCAAATTCTGAGGAACCTCAACCACGTCTTCCGCCATATACTGTAACTTGCTCCCCAAACGAATTTGAAGAGCAACCAGTTTAATGTAGCCACGCAGCACAACCGACTATAATGTCGTCGAAACCTTTACTCTCTTCATGTCTATCAGCCACGGAACGCACTCCATGGAACGCGCCCCCACAGTATCTGTGTTAGAAAACCCCTTGACATTGCCGTAACCAATCTGCATTACGAAGCATGGCCTGTGTATGTCGGGACAGACGTTGCGCCAAACAGCATTACTCTACAAAATCGAAACAGGCTTTTGTACGCATACTGCAATGTGAAACCGATGATGAGTCCATCAATGCAATTTCATTTTATCATTTTGTTTTCTTTTCCCCATTTCGTGGTTCGCACTCTGCCCATCCTACGGGAGTTGCTGGGCACTTGTCTTTTTACTTTGTCGTTTCGTTGAGTAGTGAAAAGCTCTCACGTCTTGCGTCCTTTCTCCACCTATGTTAACCGTAAGTATATGCTACGCATCGACGCATTAGGCGATTTGCATTACGTGATGTAACTCGTGTCTACTGGGTGACGACACAGCACAAATAGGTACTGTGCATTTCAGATTCACCTAAACACCAAGCTAGGTAGGTCAACATTTGTGCTTGTGCGCACACACCATGCTAAGCCAAAATATGCGCTGGCTATTTTGGCTGGTACGTTTTTAGAGTCTGCGTTTCTCACGCAAATCGTTTCACCAAACTTATAAATCCAAGTTTTTATGCTTAATTACTGTTCCATGTTTCGTTACTTTATCGAACTGTGCTTGGCATGTGTCAATTATAGCAACACATCATTCAGCGAAACATTACACACTGACATTAACCAATCATTTACACTCAACTTACCGCATGAATTGAACGGACATACTTCTGCACCACTACAGTATCTTCAGTATTCTATAAAATAAGAAAGGTAGAACGAGGATTCGAGAACTGCTGTCCCAAACTACATCGTCTATCCGATATACATACTCGTTGGGACATGCAGAATAAAGTGCTATTTTACAAAACAGGATAGTGGCTAGGCGTTTGTGTATCAAGTGATCATTTTCATTGTGCTTCTGCTGTACGATTCCATTCGCTGCACACCAGAACTCAATTTTCTGACAGATCCTACCATAGCAGCGATTCACGTAGCTTTATTTCCAGAAATCGTCTAGCACTGCAATGTGTAGCCAGAATAAACATGGAGCCACAGCGAAACTAACTCACTTTTTCCGGTAGAAGCTCCAATAGCTTCTGCTTTTTGTGTCTCGAAACCTGAAAAATGAGACGCAGTGCGTGAAGTTCGGCAAATGGCCTTTCAAACGAACCCTAATCAACTCACCACAAGATGATAGCCCAATTAGGCATAGATAGAATTTAGTGATTATAACAAGAGCCTGTGAGTTAAGAATGTTCTGCAGTTATTACGTGTCCTACGGAACTAGCAGATGATACTCACCTATCTCCAGTACATGTTATATGCAATCGAATGAATATACAGGATTGCTGAGAGTAGCGTACTTTCCAACTGACCGAACAGAATGTTAAATAAGGCGCTTTGTGGAGTTTCGACTGATGTCGCAAACGCTCCGGAGTCACCAAGAATGTTAAAGGGATTTAACGCAACTATCATGGGAGCACTTATAAGTAAGTGAAGTTTATTCCTGGACTGGAGGAAGCACGGTCTATGTTATTAGAACGTTCAAATCGTACAAAGCGATCGGAAAGATGTCGATTTCTTTAGAATTGTTTTTGTTACAATAGATTACCTTGCGTGTTTTATCGTTGCTTAGCGCAATGTTGTTGATTTACTCAACTGTGTTAAATAGTTGTGTAAAGGCAGCAGGTGAATTGAGATTTGTCTATCTCAGGTGAGTTTGCGACTGAAATAATCGAATACCTGCAGTTCAGAGGCTGGTACATCAACAATTTTAATGCATATCAGTTCATTACTGGGGTTCAACTTGTGTTTTCAGTTCGCTTTTATCAAGCTGTGATACGGCTATTTCTCCTACATTTCAACCGTAAAAATGAGTGCTTTGCTGTAGATTTCGAAATCCACCGTTAGTTCGATTAAATCCTTAGAGTTCGTGGCAAAATGTTACATGGTTAGCAACGACTACTTGGAATACCAAAGCTTTTGTAGTTTTACCAATTCGTGTTCGCTGATGCATACTCACTGTTTTAAGATCAATTAGGATGCATACATGGGTGCCTTATCGACCATGAGAAATGAGCATATTGTATTATCACTACAAAGCAATAATAAGGACAGTGAACTTGGTTTTATCGCCTACAAACTGAAGGTAGCACGGAGGAGCTATAATGGAAATTGATCATTTTAAGCCTTCTACCAAGTTGACTAAGATCTCACCAGTTCCTCTTCGTAGTTCATGAAAGTGCGATCGGTCTGTTAGCCTGGGGCGCACAAGATTTCTTTTGAGTGATAACTGTTCCCAGCGAGCAAAAGTTAACTAGGAGGCGGGAACTGGATTCACCGATTACAAAACTTGACGTCGCTGGTCCGTCTCGCACTTATGGCTGGAGTACAGGTGACCCGCCATGCTCTTGGCTTGAGACGTTACAGCACATGGCTCGCAGTCACCACCAGGGGCGCGTCTGCTCTCATCTACTTGTAGGACTGCTTGTTTAAACTATGTTAGTGCTGATTTATCTTCTGGGGTTGGCTGATTAAAACACGCGGCAGTGAAAACGGCAAGGAAGCTGTCTCGCCGGTACCGCCTTATTTTTGCATGATAGCTAGCTGCCTGTGATGGCATGATGTTGACAAGGTGTATGCCCCATGACCCTAAATGCTTGCTTAGGGCACTAAGATTTTATGCTAGGTCCCCTTCTCTAACTGCTATAATTCTGTCCCGTAGATCCAGGTGGTTGCAAGGCCGCGAAGTATCAGCTCAAATGACTGATCTACTGTTGTTAGTGATGGTGATGATGCTGATGAGGATGAGGATGATGACGATGATGATGAACTGTTCCTAGCGCAGACAGTGTTGAATGCCCAGCTGGACAGGTTCTGAAGTCATTAAAACCTTGGAAACCTCCGACATCGTACCAACACAGTGGCAGCTGACAACTTGCAACGAAAGCTATACTATAGCCTTGCTCGGGAATGTTTTATAGCTGAAGAGAAGTGTCAGTTCCCCTCTTCGTAATTACCTTGACAGTAGTACCCTCAAAGTTCTTGTATTGCATGACAATTTAAACTCTTTGCAACTCATTCAGCATATCATTCAAGGTGCGCTGCAGTGTAAGGTCTTTCTGTAAAGGATAACCGTGTAGAGAAATGTTCCCCATACTTTTATGCCTGCCGTTTAATCATTTGGGTAGTTGAATTTCTTTAACCCCAAACTGTTGTTGTGTGTACCGAAACAAGTCGGTTTTAATTGGATGTGTTGCTGATGCCAATCAAAGCGCAGATCCACAAGACATCTGTTTGTGGTTGACCGTTTGCCGTTTTACTTGGGAGTAATTTTATAGTACCCACAGCTAAATTCCGATCTAAAATCTACACAATGTCATTAAAGAATCACCGCACCAGTACTGAACAAACAAAACGTACGGTAAAACCGCCGAACGTTGGCCACTAAATGGAATGGACCAAACTACTGAGGTCTGGATTCATAAGACCTAGATAGTGAAAGTTCAAACTATGAAAAATCAAACGATCAACTTAACGTGTTGTTCAGGATAGAGAGGCAAACAACCTCGTGGGTTTCACAGTACTTTATTCAGGAGTAGCGAGCTGATGTAATTGAGAGCTCATTGTGGTAGCTTCCAATGATCAATGAATTTATACGGGTTACGAAGCGTTGCTTTACAAGTCCCGTTGAATAGTTGATTGGGATATCAACATAACAATAATGATGATAAGGATAGTAAAATAGTTCATAATTTAAATGTGAAAATAAGGACTTTTCGTTTGCTCCGCTGTAGTCCTGCGATCCTCTTAGATTCACAGCACCAACAGTTAACCACAAATAATTCCATGGCAAACTCCAGGTGTAGGATGGAGACAAAATGTAAGTGGATAAGTGCATCGTCCAACCGTCTTTTAACTATTGTTAGTGTAGGTGCAGAGACGACCGATTCTAGGAGAGCATTCCACGGGTGACAGACACGAGTGGAAAAGAAATTGCTGCGGCATTCCAGACGACTGTATTGTTCTGCGAGTTTTAATGAGTGGCCCCTCAGGTTTGTATTGCTGCTGAGTTGCAGTAAACGGCGGCACACATGAGGTTGATCTCGCAGAATCAAGTATGCCATAATCAGGTCACCTCGTAGTCTGCGATAGCTTCCACTGAACAATCCCAGTCGTTGCAGCCTCACCTGGTAGGAAAGATTGCGAATTCCAATTACGTTCTTAGATGCCAGGCGTTGTGGCTGCTGCAGTGCATTAAGGTCCTGTTTCAGCCATGGATGGTAGGCTTGAATTGCGTATTCGACATGGGGGCGAACATAACCACTGAGCATTTGTCGAAATATGGAGCTGTTTATTTGTCCAAACGCCCGTCGCAACAGCCCGACTTGTTGGTTCCCGGTCTTCGAGGCCTTTTCGGATTGCCTAGAGCAACCCAAGTCATTTTGAACCAGGACACCCAAGTCACGTTCGAGAGTTGATTGTTGTAGTATATTCGTTCCGAGTCGGCATGAGTAGCTTCTCTGATGCCGGATGGAAAACACCTTTCATTAACTAACGTTGAAATGCGACAAGTTTTGGGTCGACCATTGATACACCGTATGTAAATCCTTCTGAAGCACATGTTGATCGGCGTTCGCCTGGATCCTGCGCCAAATCTTGATATCGTCGGCAAAAATTAGGAAGTTTGAAGCGATTCCCTGTGCAATGTCATTAATAAACACCCAAAACAAACGTGGACCTAGAACTGAGCCTAGCGGCACACCAAACTCGACTTGTATGGAGTCCGATAATGAGCTCCGAACTCTGACCACTAATTGCCTTTGAAATAGAAAGTTGGCGATCCAGCTTAAATGAGGGTCTCCGATCCCGTAATGCTGCAGCTTGGATAGTAGTATCTAATGGTCTATGCGATCGAAAGCCTTGGAAAAATCCAGGTAGATCACATCAACACCTTCTCCAGCGTCAGCTGCCTCGGTCCAACTACTGCGTGCGATTAATAAATTAGTTGACCTGGCCCAATGTCAACGGAAACCGTGTTGCTGAGGCGTGATGATGTTACAGTCTTCCAGATAGCACACCAGTGCATCGGCAACTATGGATTCCATGATCTTGGAGAGTATAGGAAGAAGGGATACTGGGCGGTAGTTGAAGGGATCCGTTCTGCTTCCACCTTAGTGAATCGGTGTTATCATTCCAAGCTTCTAAATGGCGGGAACTTGGTTCTGGTCTAAGCCACGCCGGAAAAACTGAGCTAAAGGTTCTGCCAGTTGGCTTGCTGCTGCTTTCAATGCTTCTGGACGAATGGTGTCGACACCCGGCGAGCTGTGTTTGCGCAGAGACGTCAGCATTTGCCATACAGCCTCTGCGGTAAAAGTGATGCGGGTTAGTCCTGGTGAGCAGAAGACAAAACTTGGTAGATTGCTTGGTGGCAAGACCCTTTGAAACGCGTTGGCGTATTGAATCTGCAGCGCGTTTGCTGCTTTCACAGTCGTTCTTGCTGGGCCATCAGCCGTCTTGAGTGAAAGAAGTCCTTGCCTCACCTTTCTTATGCTGTTAACGTGCTTGTACAGCAGTTTGTGGTTCGCACTGAAGATTGTTGCGATTTTCTGCTGATAGGCGGCTTTGTCTTCTCTTAACAGTTGAATGCAGTGGTTACGTTGGGCTACATAGTTGTCCCAAGTTTCTGGTGCTGGAGCTTCTTTGTACACTCGCCATGCTGCGTTGCATACTATCATCCGTATTCGAGTTCTGCTCCTAACGAAAGAAATTGATTTGCACTTATTGCAAGATTTTATCTCTGAAGCCTGTGCAACCAGCTGACCGAATTTGTTGACGAACTCGAGCCAGGCGACTTCCTGGGGTTCTTTTTTTGAGGAAAGACCAAGTTGTGGCGCTGACGAGCTGGGCTAGTCGATCGTAGCTTGTGATGGTTCGCACAGTGTTAACGTTATCAGTTCGGGATTCTGCATAGCGGACGAAGTTGGATCTGATCGCGGCGTGATCGCTGCGACCCAACGGGCAGTCTAAAACCAACCGATCAATCATATGCTACTTTTTGATAAGCACAAGGTCCGGCACAGATGGCCTATTACCAGTTCTAAACCGAGTGGGCAAAGTGATGTGGTTGTAAAAAGGAACATTAATTACTAGATCTTGTAGACCGGTTTTGAATTGGCCTCCCATCGTGGCGGGGGTTTCTAAACAATGTACACGGAAATTACCCACGATAAGAATGTGAATGTACTTTGGTTGTAAACTACACCTTAAGGTAGCCGCTAGGTGGTAGTCGGTTTCGGGTGTTGAGTGAGGGGCGCGGTACATCAAGACAATAAGACAAGCGTTCCTGCCTTTTAACTGCAACTGGCGCCAAAGAGAGTCGGGGAACTGCGAGTCTGGATCCTCCACGGCTTCGCACTGTAAGTCGTTTCGGTAATACAGGATTACCCCTCCCCCTTTTGTGAGCCTGTCGTGCCGGATCAGAGACATGCCGGGTAACGAAACTTCAGCGTCCGTCAATCCCGTGTGTAACCACATCTCGGTGATCCAATGACATCATACGACCCGGAATCTTGGCGATCTTTCAGTTCAGCCAGTATGTTGGAAAGACCCTGAGCATTCGTATACAAGCAGGCCTCGGTCTCTAGGATCCCACAGAGGCGTGAAGCGGTCACGTGTGGGAGAATGCCGACCGATGGGAGGTCTGAAGTTACTCGCTTTTCGGTGGGACTATAACACCTTGTTTGCAAGTTGATTCTGCCATGGTGCGTCCCAACCTTCGTTTAGATCTACGTCAGAGTCAGTTAAAGCAGCAGTCAAGTTACGCTTCTGTACATTCGTCGGTATGCTTGCTGCTTCAGTTGCTTTAATATTTGAGCTCTGCAAAGTGTTTGCGACCTTTAACCGAATTTCGGAAGGAAGATGTTTCCGATTTCTCCGCCATCGATCTAAAACATCCTTTGCTTGTTGCTCTGACTGAACCACAAGTTTTAGGATTCTAGGGCCACATCCTCTATAATTCGATGAGAGAGGTATCCTGGTGAACGACAGTGCCGCAATATTATCCAAAGAAGATGTTTCACGGATGAACCGCCACTGTACTAAATCGTGCTTTCCAGTCTCTTGAACATCGTTAGAAGGGTGTTTTGGCACGCCATGTATGAAGATTGTGTTTAGGCCGTCTTGCTTGTTGTGCCTCTCTTCGGTGTTTCTTTTTGATCGTCGCGCGCTCCAAGGGACATCACGATAGATACGTATCCCACAGGATCCGTATTTTAGCGCGCTTGCGGAGAGCAAAACGATTTCTTCGTCGGTGGAGGATTCTAGAGTTACTCGAATAAGTCTGGGTTCGCCGTAGTGTGGCGAGTTCGAATGACGAGTAATTCGTAACAAGTTTATGGGCTTGGCTTTGATACTCATCTGCATGCACAATGAGTTCCATTGGACTTGATCGTCAGACTACCTAGCGCTTAATGTGGCTGCGGTGGATTCGGGGACATTTGCACACACAGCTCTCAGGGTGCTAGGAGAGTACGGTTTCACGAGCGCAAAACAGCGGAGCACGTGAATCGCATTCACTCAACCAGAATGTGCTGAGCCCAAGGTCAGTTCGGCTGATGCTCAACGCACTGGAAACATATCGATCAACAGACCAGTGCTTATTTGAAATCGGTACCCATGATCGAACGGACGTTCGGTTAGTGCAGGCTGTACAGTGTGAACGCTTTACCCGCGTTTGCTTCACGTTTCATCCTCGAAATAAACTCCGGTTTTTCGCGCAATCGTCCTGCTCGTTCTTTACTGCTGAGGATTGGCTTACTCTCTAAGCTAACAGTGTCCGACACAATAAAGTACGTTATGGTTAGATCCCTTTCCGTTACACTTTAAGGTCTGGTGATCACCCGACAACTGATGATTCTCTACTGTTTGTCTTTCTATTCACGACAGCGGTATGTATAATGGAAGAGACCACAAGCGTGCCTCCAAGCTGACCTTTGCAACAATCTCTGCATATGTGACTGATGTTCGGGTAATTTTGGCTCGACCAAAGACCTTTTAACTACAGATACAGTGGGGTGGTGTTAGGCTGCTTCATCCTTTTTAATGACAGCTGTTCGTAAGTCTGATGGAACTTGATTATTTACACTTTTCGCATGGTGTCTGCTTTCCATTGTCCTGAGTAATGCTAGACTATCGGAGACACGGTTAATTTTGCCTGATGTTCTGCTAAAGTCTGGGGAGACAACGGCGATAGTTTCTGGGTGATCATGGTTCATAAGAAGCAAATTGTCCAATATTCCCTTGCACACAGCGCACTACGCTTCTTTAGTACGGACTCGCTTCCAAAGAGGTACTCTTAGATTTCATGCGCTGTTCGGCTTCTACTGCTAACTGGTCGCAATTCTGGACTACGATAAAGGTCCAGTTGACGAATTGGGTGGTCGCACCCGCAGTACAAAACCAAATGGCATCTTGTGAGTTATTTCGCCCTGGAACTTGTTGTTTGAATAAATTAGCCCACCTTTGAAGATACCATAAAGAACAATGCTGGTAAGTCAACTCTAATTTGCTCAACCGTTTGCATTCTGCTGACCCGCAGACGCCCTTCGCCGTGAGCGCTTTTGTATTCTCATTTACTGGCTTTCTGCAACTCAGCGTGGCATCGTTACTCAACCTCGTGAGTTGCTTGGGATTCTGCACTTCTCCAAATTTGATAGCGGTGCACGTGGGTCAAAAGATAAAAAATGTTCACTGGCAGATGTCCTATTAAATCTACAGTAGACTCACTTCGAATACCTGGTTCAACATCACCCCGGCATCCAGTGAAAGGGGTTGAAATTTTCGTTCCAACACTAACAGTAAGGGGTTGATAGAAACAGTTATTTACCTTTTATTTTGCCCAATATTGCATATCCGATAAACTCAAGGGCTATTTCTGTTACGGCATAAATAACTACCGTGGTCATGTACATAGATGAGAACAAAGTTGAAAAACACCGGCCTTGACTCATTTTTGGAAGACTGAAACCAATAAAAATGCAGACGACTGCAAGCAGATGAGAAGCCAGTCCAACGTATTGATGCACAGACCGAAGCACAGCGCGTCTCCTTTCTGTAGACGTGATAACAAACCATGAAATGAATGGCTGGACTAGACATACAATGGATAGAAGAACAATACTTACATTGGACACTGTCAGAGTAAAGGTTACAAATCCCAGCAGAGGATGTGCCGCGAAAGGAAACGTTTTTAGTTTGGAATAATCCGCTAAATGAACAACCATTGTCATAAGACCAATGACAACAAGGGCTACTAATGATGCTTGAAATCCAAGGTGCAAATTAAACCAATACTTCCAGTGTCTAAATGTTCTTCCAGGCCACGCAAGTTTGAAGTGCCTGACAGCCAGCATTCCATTTGGGCAACAGAATCCCCATGCCATTAACATGAGACATGCATGCGCTTTAACTCGTTGTGATATCTGACATCTATATAATGTTGACGGTAAGATTCAAGTTGTTGGATACGTAATTAGTCCATCCTTTCCTTCGGCATTGTATCCGAATTGTGGTGAGCATTCATAAATTGCGCTCATTTCTTTCATCAATTGAGGTATTTCATGTTTTGCATCTGCCTTGTTGGTTGCTTGAATCGGTCTAGCAGGTGATGTGACGCCGTAGATCTGAAGGGTCAGTTACACATGCGAGTGGGCGGTCGCGACGAATCAGAATGCGAGCGAGGAATGCCAAATAACCTGTCTGTAATTTAAAGCAACGAAACGCACGGTGAGGTAGCAATTAGATGTTCATTTTAACACGTTTAATTAACAGTCTAAGAACTGGGCATGGAATTCTCCATAAAAACATGAAAATCAAAGGGAAGGAGAATGTAATCAAAAAATGGAATGAAATAGCGTTGTTTATTTTTCACACGCCGCTTTTTTCTTTTTTATCCTTTTCAGTGACTGAAGTAATAAATATGTGAATCAATACAATGCTGTACTAGGTTCTTCCAATGCTTCCTGTTGCGCGCCATGTCTTCATGCATGTTAGCTTACTGGTAGTCCTTATCCATGAGCCCCCATCCAGGGGGATGTACGGGTCCAACGGCGGCTAGACGTGGCGTCAGCCATTTCATATGCCGTTGCCATGTGAGTGGCTGACCAGCATTCGGTCACCTCTAGACCTGTTCTGAACAAGGGAAAAGAGCGCAGCACGGAAGAGGCTCAAATGCCGTGCGTGCGACGCGATTGAGCCATCTCAATATGCGCAAAGAAACCCGCGAGTTGAATGGAAAACGCTCATTCCCCATGATGCGATTTTGAACATCATTACGGGAACTCATTGTTGTCATCACACACAAATGATTCTTCTCAAACAACCTTTGTAGAGGGCGGAAAGACGTTGCATGTCCTACCCTCGAATTGGCTGGGACTCGCTCCCATATCACAACACTGAAGGGATAGTGGCACAGCAAAAGTGGTTCTTTGTCGAAACGGAGGCGTCTGACGACGCCACAAGTGTCTCAGATTGGCAAATGCTGATCAAGCTTAGCGAAGCGTAAAAAAGTTAATGGCTGATTGCTGCCAATGGTAACACAGCTCCCTAGATAGACGAAACTATCTACCTATTCAAGTTATGCATCTTCAAGTAGGAGCACGAGAGCCGCTGTTGGCCAATCTTACTTCAGCGCTGTACTTTAAGGTATCGAAACTCATTCTATACGTCGATGATTTAACCGCCAAACGATTTGGGATGGGTCTTATACTCTGTGCATAGTCCCCAAGTATGGTGATATCATCAGATTAGCCGAGGTCTGTCGCGCAAGCACGCAATAAAAGCTCTACGTTGGAATTTTGGAAAACTTCCAGAGCTCTCGACAATAGGTCTTCGACTGCGAATTTACAAAGAAATGGGAGCGTAGGGTAGCCTTGGCGTACACCGCTATTTCAAGCGAGAAGTTAGAAAAGCTTGCCGTAAGCCCTCACACTGCCATAGACATGAAGGTAAAATGCGCGCAATATGTAGGTATATTACTCCATCGTCCTGTTATTTAGTAAGCAGCGCCATAAATCAGGTCGACCGCGAGAGTTAAATGTTGCCCGTATCCCTAGGAATATGACGATAATGAGCCTGTTTTTAATGCGGCGGTGTTCGGGGAGTTGGCGAAGTGTAACATATTTGATCCCCCCTTCCACGACCTGGACGGAAGCCAGCTTGATTTTGACAGTAGTATGATTCTTCTGGCCGGAATAGTCTACAAAATAGAATGGATGCCAATAGCTTAGTTGCAGCCAAAATGAGACTACCTCTTCGTTGTTCGACGCATGAAATGCGAGCGGCCTTTCTTCAAAATGTAGACGATAACTTATGCGCCCCTAGAAGAAACCGCTTTTTCTTCATGCCAGTGTTTTGTGAAGAACGCGATCGATTGGTTAATGATTGCCCCCCCCCGCCGTACGTAGCCAGTTCCGGAGGCAGTTCGTCTGCGCCGACAGTCTCGAATCGGCTCACTCGCCGAATCTTGAGGCAGACTTGTGCTCCGTTGGTGGGGTCCAGGGAGACGAGCTAAGGTAGACAACCAGGAGTACTGCGTAAACGGAAGAAAGGTGCAGGCGCGTTGAATGCCGAGTGAAAGTACGCGGCGCAGTGGTCCAATCTCTATTGCTGGTTAGTGATCGGAGACCCATTTGCCTTGCAGATAACAACAATGACACCAAGCCCCCTGAGGGTAGTGGAACTAATGAGTTGGAAAAGCATGCAAGTGTTGCCGGATAGACCACCATCTCCAAGCCGTACTTAGACCACTAACCCTCGTGATCCTCGCGCAGGCTTAACTTGAGCTGCCGGTTGGCGTAGGGGTGCCGTTCAATGTAATCTGTTTGTGCCGGGAAACCTCTGCAGTGGTCTTCCAGCACCAGAAAGCGAGCGGAAAGGGAGCCTTTAAGCATCATAGTTTTCCGGAAGGTATCATCTCATTCTGGATATAAGACCAGTGTCGCTCGATGTTTGGCAATAAATTGCAACTGAGTGCGTATGCCAGTGAAGACTGATAGCTCGTCTTGACCTAGAAACCTGTTATTCTGTTCGCATCCATCTTGCATTCCTTCGATTTTGGGTACTGAAAAGAACATGTAGATTTTTGCGCAGATCGGCATATGATCTGAGTTTGCCAAATGGACGGCAATATGGTGGACGCGACCAGTCTAACAGTTCGGATTATGGCGTTTAAAATAATGTTGTGCGCTGTTGCTAAACCATAGTAGGAAAAAAAGCTAAAGTCCCTTATGACTGCCTCTGTAAAACAACAAATAACTGAAACATCTACTTGTGACCTTTAAGCAGACGCCTACCTGAATTTAGGATCAAATCCGTGTGCCGCATCGGCCCTCCAGCGCTCTGTGGGCCACACAGCTGCGTTTAAGCGTGCAAGTGGGTTGATTCGAGTACATTGCTGCACGTCTCTTTACGCTGTAGGTCAGATTGTTGAACCGAAGTGTAAAAATCTTTGAGCGTCATCTGGGAATTTGGCTTCAGTTAATTCTCTTGCGTTATATAACCCCATTGCTTAAGTTAGACGGCAGCTATCAGCTTCGTTTCTACAACCCGTGATAGTAATTTGTCAATATCCGATGGCAAACCGAAAGTAGCATTTTGTGTATGAGCTCTCATTGGTCATATTTTGTGCCAGCTTGGTTAGTGGGAACACTTACTCTAACTTATTATCATATTGTGATTGTGATGTGTCTACAAAGCGCATGCAGAATAGTTGGGTTTTACTCCTTTTTGTATACCTCTACTTGATGTAAGTGAAATCAGTACAAATTTTAAATGTATGGAGAGAAAACTACACTCTAAAGACGGTTAACAAGTTTAATTCAAGCAGGTTATTAGATGACATTTGGGGAGGAATATAATTTTGATGTTCCAGTGAACCGGGCAGGCAGTGTCTTAAGTTGAAATGTCGTTGGACTGTTCTTTTTAGTGTCTTCTCTCGGTAAAGAACATACTACATCCGCAAAGTTAAACTGAGTAGGATGCCAAAGCTAACGCTGACGGGAGAGCCTAAAACTATGCTATTGCCGGGATGCAAGCGCAAACTTCAAACCTAACTAGTTGTATAAGCAAAACGAACTTTCTTAGTTTATTTTGTAATATTGCAGTACGACAAGGATGTAAACCTGTTCATTCTTAGCTTATCCACCCACCGCGTCCATGCACGTTTCTTGTCTTAGTTAAGTATCTGCGTGTTGTGGACATGGTGGATTTATACTCAAGCGCAATTCAAATTTTCTTTAAAATCCTTTCTATCGTGTTCAAACACTTTAAATTTCGGCACTCCGGTGCGTTTACACAATTTTTGTCCCTGATGTCAACAACTAAAAGTCTCTTACGGCTGAACGCTAAGCCGATGCCAGGTCTTTCAGCTCTCAACACTAAAACTTTACGGTGTTACTCAAATACTGGTCAAAAGCGATAACAGGTATAAGACTTACGACATGTAGAAGAACAAGGAAGAATGGGTCATTTGAACTGCACTTGCATCGCAAGGAGTTACAAGAATTAAAAATTAGCGCTCAGCATTGTCTACTACACACAGTACAGCAGCAGGTGAAGGGAGAGTTAAAATCAGTAAAACAAATACAGGATTGGAAGTGACAAAGACTATGTGTGTTGTGACTGTACATGAACAACATCGTACGCTTCTTGGTTTAATGTGCTTTCGAAGTTAGCGTAATTCCCAATTCTTGAATATCATTTTCACCTGCGTCCGCTGTGTTATTACTTCGCGTTGTTGCTAGCTGTGGGGTTGAGCTTAATCCATTTCGATTACGGTTACTTCATGGAATACTACCATTGGTGTCGCGCTCAACCAATTTTACTCATGAATCTATGCAAGTTGGGTACTCTGAATCTTCACACTTGATCTCATGAAACCAAAGATTATCTTTTACGCTTTGAACGTTGGTGTACTCCTAAGAAAAAGTAAAAAGAGGAAAAGAAAACCGACCAGTTTCTTATTGCCGTTGGACAGGATGCTTATTCACTTTTGAATTACCTGTCTTTTCATGAACCACCAAGTTCGCTGCCTTATGATACAAGAAAAAACCTGCTGCTGAAACAGGTTCAACCACCAAACTTCTAAGCAGCTGGACGGGCTAAATTCTACACGCTTATGCGCTAGAAGAATTAAGATATTTGTGATCTCATCTTGCAAATTCAAACGTAAACGGCTGGCTGCAATTTTGGCGACCAGTTGCAAATCCAACTTAGAGATCGTCTGGTAGCCGAAATCAATCGTTCCAGCCTACAACCAAAAATATTAGTTTTTCTTGATCCAATTTTTCAATTCGTCAGGATATACTGCGAGCAATTTCCAGATGTGAAAGTGACAATTTGAGAAGAATCTGCCATGATGTTCAATTCTGGCCATAAGATGCAACCTGGTAACTGACAACCGCGACAATTGAAAATGCTTGGTACTCATAATGACATGCATACGAAAAGGATTACTTCTTTTGAAAAACCTTTGGAACGACTGTGCGTCTTGTGGGTATAAACATTCTCGACTGACTTGCAAGTTCCGCAGTTCCAAGTGTTATAAGTGCGGAAAGATTGGTCATCTTCAAGCTGTTTGTCGGAGTACAAATACTTGTTTGGTACAAGAAGCATCAGGTGAGCAACATCTCTCAGACGAGTTGCAGTCCAATGATCTTGCTGTGTGTTCCCCTGGTCAGTTTTTCCACATTGCCAAACAAT